CTATATTGAATAAGTATGGGGAGAGTGGACAGCCTTGCCTCGTTTCTGATTTTATTGGAATTGCTTTGAGTTTCTCTCCATTTAATTTGATGTTGGCTGTTGGCTTGCTGTAAATTGCCTTTATTATGTTTAGGTATGTTCCCTGTATTCCTGATCGCTCCAAGACTTTTAACATGAAGGTGTGTTGGATGAAAACTCTTCATCTAGTTAAAAAATATGTGATTTTCCCCAATTAGCCACCAGTTTTGGAAAATATGATTCATACTGTATAATAACATTTAAGTTTTGGTTTTTTGTTTTGATTTAAAAATAATATATACTTACATTCTAGGATTTGAAATAGAAGAAGACTTTTATTAAATATATAATATTCATGTTAAAACTACTTCATAATCATGAACTCCTAGAGGTGTGTGTAACCTGGAGCCCTAGAGTGAGGGTTTGTGTGAATCATAAGTTACATTTTAATGATTTTGAGTGTGAATAATGGACAAATGGGTTTCTAAAGCAGTTTCACGGGTACCTTGATAAGGATGGCACTAGTAATTAAATCAGTGTTTACTTCTAAAGAAAAATATAAATGGAAAATAATGTACATTTTCACCTCCCAACCATCAAAGAAGAGAAAGATTGATAAAAGTAGGATGGTTAATATTAATAATCAATTATCTTATACAGAATTTAGAAGTTCTGAAAACATAGTGAATTAAGTTTAGTTTGAACCACAATGACAAGGCCAAGATTCTTAGTTCTTGATTTTCTCATAATCCAGGCTAGCATAAATATTTTTACTTCATAATGAAGTTCTAGTAATTTGTGAAGAGGTAAATGTATTTGAAGATATTTCATTTTTACATATTAGTTTCTATTCTTTATGTGTCAATACCCTGTGAGTACTAAAGAATAAAGAAGTGTAGCTAGAGTTTTTCTGCCTGGCCCACAGTCAGGACAATTCTCTCTTACCCGCCAGTCCCACGGCTGCTCAGATCCAACCAAGTAGACACACAGAGACTTATATTGCTTACAAACTGCATGGCTGTGGCAGGCTTCTTGTTAATTGTTCTTATATCTTAAATTAACCCATTTCTATTAGTTTATACTTTGCCATGTGGCTTGTGGCTTACCAGTACCTTACACCTTGCTTGTCATGGCAGCGGCTGGCAGTGTCTCTCTCCTCAGCCTTCTACTTCCCAGAATTCTCCTCTCTGCTTGTCCCACCTGCCTGGCTACTGGCAAATCAGTGTTTTATTTCTTAACCAATCAGAGCAACACATTTAACATACAGACCATCCCACAGCACTTCCCCTTTTGGTTTTTTCCAAAAGGAAGGTTTTAACTTTCACATAGTAAAATTACAGATAACAAAACAATTATCAAGCAAGAATTACAGTTACAATATCTAGTCTATTTATAATAATTAGTCTATTTGTATTTGGTAAAATTAAAGAAGATACCCTATCTATCTTATATTTGTGGGTCTAAGGTTTCATATCTAACTTATCTTTTATCATAACTAAGGAAAATCATAACTAGTCTTCAACTACATCAAAGGCCTCAGAAGGATATAATATTACCTGAGAAATGGGAGAAGGATGCAAGCAATTTTTGGGAGTCTTGCAGGGTAGACAGAGACAGCTGACAGCCTGGACAGTCATCCAAAGTTCTTTTGTAAAGTTGGGGCATCTGTCTTCAGGCCACAGGGCTAGAGTCTCTCAGTCATTTTTTTCTGTGTCCTGTAGGATGTCTGACAGTTTCCTCTGTGAAGCAGGAACCTGAAGGGCCATTTTGCCAAGCAAAGTTCAGTGGTCACTTTCCTATGGGTCCTGCATGTCCAGTCGATCAAGCAGTCCAGGCAAATACAGTTTCTTGCCCAAATGGCTATTTTTGCCAAGGTGAAGATAAACTCTATATGGAGTGTCTTCCATTCCCAGCCTCCTCTCTTTAAGTAAATTGGTGTTGTCAGGAGCAGACATGTTTCACTGTCCAGAAAGTCTAAATTTTTAAAACATTTTAAATGCCATATTCTGTAGGTCTTTGAAGTGTTTGAAGATTACCTGTTTATCTAAAATATATCTATGTATACCTAGAAAACTTAACTAACATGACTATAAGTTTGACTATCATAGAAGACTAATTGTTCTATTACAATTTAAATGAGTTGTATAAACATAATACCTTAAACAAGAGTAAAAGCACACATACAGTATAACAAAATTAAGTTTAAACTTGTATCAATAAACTAAAATCTATAGCAATGTAAAACATTTCAAACAAGTTGTTGTTCTTTAAAAGTAGGTTCATTAATCTACCCTTTCACCCTATCATATCTATATCATATCCTGTCATGGACTGGCCCATCGTGGGTACCATGACTGTAGGCGAACCAGGGCTTGGGTAGTCAGGAAGGCAAGGATTTGGCGAATGACAGACAGACAACACACTCAGAAGTGGTTTGAATCTGTTGTAATTTTATTTTTGTAAATCAGTAGTTTATATACAGAAAAAACTATCAATTCATACAAGGAACAACGAGAGCTTGGCAACAATTTAATCACATCATCTTTAAAAAAAAAGCAAGCACACAGTTATTAATCAGCGCTAGACATAACCCTTCACCCACAAGAACTTTATGACCCAAAAAGCAGTCTGTGTTTTTTAAACTTAGTACAGTCCCTAGACTTGTGTAGGATTCTTTGTGGTTGTAGCTATGTCTTTTATCTTTATCTTGGTCACTGTCTTGTTTATTATGTACTTTTATTTTTTTGGTTTTTATGACCCACTTAGCCAATTTGGATATTGTAGGTCCTCCCTAAGTCCTTTTTAGTTTTTTTTAACATATATCTCTTTTAATATAAAATCTTTTTACCTGTTGGAATATGGACTCTTGTACTTTTACGCCTGTAAGGGAAGGGGTTTTGTGACCCGTCCAGCAGGCCAGGTTATTCGAGGGTCTCGAGGAGGGACCACCTGTGAATCAATGGGGGGCGAGAGGGAAAGGAGACCAAGCGCGTGAAGAAAGACAAAGCAGTCTGAGTTGCGTCAAGGCCTCGTTTATTGACTGGGTGTTAGAGCTTATAAACAGGGCTTCAGGTAGGGAGGGGGAGCAGGAGTGAGGAGAGGACAAAGAAAATTCCTAAGGAGGGTCAGCAGGAGGTCTCTTTGGTCCCAGGCCCCTGTAGCTAGCTGATTTAAAGAGGTTTATTTAATCCTACATTCCTAGGTTAGACTAAAAGCCTCTTATTTACACGAGGCTTGATAAATCGTGGCAGGTAACACAAGGTTCAAGACACAGCTGTCCAGAGTCGGTCTCCAACAGTTTTGTTGTAGTCCTTAAGTTTTTCATGTTGAATTTCCTCAACAGAGGGGCCCACCATCTGCCTCTTATGAGATAACGTCTTCTGTCATAAATTACTTTAGTTGGGATTCCTAAAGGATTTCTAGTGGGTGAGTGTTCATTCCTTAGAAGTTCCTGAATCTTTATACTTTTTTTATTTAGTGGCTTGGGGTCTTTACGAAATAGTTTATTTTGTTATATTTGATTAAGATCCATATCCAGCTTTTCCTTTCCTCCATAGTTTATAACCCAAGAATTCATTAATTTTGGCTGTGTTTCATAGATTAACTAGAACATTATCAGAAAAGCAGTTATACAGAACCCATAGCCCAGGGAGCTCATGATCTGTGAAGCACGTCTTTTTTGAGAGGGAGGCATAACACGGGCACTCTGTAAGGGACCTCTAGGGAGCTTAGTCCCGTGGGACACGTATCTCCCGTCTGCTATTATAGACATAATTGTTTATGTCACATGGCCAACAATGGAGTTGCTATGGCAATATCCCCTTTTTTCTTTAGAAAGAGATTGTATTTATAATCAACCTGTTTTAAATAAAAATATTGTTTTTTCTCTGTCCCACACCAGAGGGCTCTTCTGATATGGGACACAAGAATCTCTTAACCTTTTCTTTTTTAGCAAGATGTTTGGGTTTAGAGAAGGGGTGAGTCAATTTCATCTCCAAAGCCAGCATGGTATATTTGGGAATTTGGGTGTAGCTTCTCTTACTACTTCCTGCTGGAGAGGGGCAGTGTATCTTATGGGGACACAAAAAAAATTTCGGATTATGGAGTAGTCCGTGAGGGTGTATCATCTGAGCCAGTTGCCTTAAAACGGTTTTGGATGTTGGATCATCTAGGCCATGGTGTCATTGGAGACTTTTCAGAGGGTCTTGGCTGGTCAAACCTGATGTATCTTAATCTGGAACAAATCCATAGCCTCGGGCTTTCTGTGGAAACAAAAGCAGAGCCTCCTTTCCAAAGCAACATATCCTTAGATCTAAATTTGGAAGTCAAGGTATCTTTAAAATATACATATTGGCTTAACTCAACAGAATTTACAATCAATTTTTTTTCTGCAGTTAAAAATCCCAAAGACAGCACAATCCAGATTCTATGTGTAATATCCATCTTTATGTGGCTTATTTTTATACTACCTTTACTGTCTCTTTAAAGACTTTATTTTTTAAAAAACTATCTATTTGTTTATATAACTGTATATATTCCTTGTTCTCTCTCTTTTAAGCCTATGTACATTTTTACACACATTGTAAAGCATTTAAAGTTTGAATCTGTCTTATGCTTTTATCAAAGCAGTGTGTAGCCCAGAAACCTCTTTTTTTTGTACTAGTAAAGGCTAACTCCACTAAGCACCATGTTGCGTGGCTTACAGAAACCTCTGTTTAACTCAGCAGGAATAGGTCAAGCCCACATGTCTCGAACCTGCCATCAAGTAGCTCAAGCCTGCATGTTGCAGCATCTAGCCGCCTACATAAGACATGAAGCAGGAACATTGGCTCCATCTTAGGATTGTTTATTAAATATTCTCAGGTTTAAGGTGGAAACTCGAGCTGTTGGGCACCATTTGTAGCTGGAGATTTCTCCAGTCCCATGGCCAGCCACTCAGATCCAACCAAGTAAACACACAGAGACTTATATTGCTTACAAACTGCATGGCTGTGGCAGGCTTCTTGTTAACTGTTCTTATATCTTAAATTAACCCATTTCTATTAGTCTATACTTTGCCATGTGACTCGTGGCTTACTGGTACCTTACATCTCACTTGTCATGGCAGCGGCTGGCAGTGTCTCTCTCCTCAGCCTTCTACATCCCAGAATTCTCCCCTCTGCTTGTCCCACCTATGCTTCCTGCCTGGCTACTGGCAAATCAGTGTTTTATTTCTTAACCAATCAGAGAAACACATTTAACATACAGACCATCCCACAGCAAAGAAGTTTTGAAAACATGCCCTTTAAAACAAAAAAGTTAACTTCAGAACCAAACCAAGAAGTTAATCCTCTACCTTTCCACGGCAGAAAATATGTAAAGATGCAGAAACAACGATAAATGACATAGACTATATCCATGAGGAAACTTCATCACAGTTTTTATGTCAGAGCAAACAAGCCAGAAGAAGTGTAAAGATCTTTCGTGGAGCAAAGGGAAGCAATGCCTTCTGGGAAATGAGCTGAGTTTTAATCTAGTCTTTAAGATTAGAAGTCAAGAACAAAAATATTAAGGAAAGGAAAACCTAATTGATCTTTGAAGTATTGTTATGTGGAATTGAGTGGGACTTTTGAGGCCTTTCTTCCAGAAAGCAAGGACTTGGTTGTCAGGCCTATGT